ACTGCCGTAGAAGCATGAAAAAATCAATTATTTCCACTATTGATGGGAGTTGAGAAATGCAAGGTCAGTCATGGCCTTCCCTCTAACTTGGAGCATGTGCATGTAAATTTTGGTGCAAATCTGTTAGAAATTGTGGCCGTGCATTCATTACACACACACACACACACACATCCTGCCTTTTATAGATAGAGATTATTTAATGACACTTTCCCATTAGCATCCTTATCTTTATATTAAGATTATTTAATGAGTCTTTCAGATTACCATCCTTATCTTTATACTAAGATTATTTAATGACTCTTTCAGATTAGCATCCTCATCTTTATAATAAGATTATTTAATGACTCTTTCAGATTAGCATCCTCATCTTTATAATAAGATTATTTAATGACTCTTTCAGATTAGCATCCTCATCTTTATAGTAAGATTATTTAATGACTCTTTCATCTTCTTCACTCTTTAGATTCTTTAATGATCACTTTAGATTAGCATGTTTATCCTCATAGAATTATTTAATGATTCTTTCAGATAAGGATCCTCATCATTATTGTTTAATGATTCTTTAAGATTAGCATGTTTATCCTCATATGATTATTTAATTACTTGTTTAATGATTATTTCCAATTAGTATTGTCCTCTTTATCATCATAAGATTATTCAACAATTAAAATTAGTATCCTCATTTTTATTATCATTAATGTTTTAACTTTTCCAATTTTCTCCAGTAATGTTTCCTGTTTTGTTACTTCCTGTGAATTTTGAACAATTCCTTATTTCATACAAAGAATATATAGTTCTTCTCCTTTTACTTCCCTACCCAATCATTGGAATGTGTAGTTTCTTCCTTTTCCTAAAACATCTTCTTTATAGCATTGCACTGTCCATCAACGCATCCAATGACATCCCTTATTTATAGATGGAACTCAGGATTCTTAAGATTGTTAATAAAGACACTGATTTCTATTGCTAAGTCCAGTTATGAAGATGAGGATGCTAGCAAGAAAGAAACATTAAATAGTAACAGTACTTCATTTCAAAAATAAAGTTTTTAATTTTATACTGTATGTAATCACATTTTTGTTTTTCTTGTATTGATTTTTTTTCTACTTTTGGGAAATATATTAGAATAATCCTGAACTGATACTACAAGCAAACCTCCTTATTTGCTTCCCATCAGCATGACTGATGCTAACCTCCAGAAGAGCAATTAATTATCCCTTTTTGGTCTCATGTTTTTCACTGACATAAAGTGGAATGATTATATTGATTCAATTGCTAGGTCTGTTGCTAAGAAAGTTGGTTCACTGTGACATGCCAAACAGGTTTTCTTGCCATAATCCATTTTACACATTCATAAATCTACCATTCATCTGTACATTGAGTGTTGCTGCCATATTTGCTCTGGTGCTTCTACTATATATCTCTGGATTCCTGGCAAAATCCAAAGAAGCAGCTGCAACATTATCAGTTTTAACTTGGCATCTCAACTATTTTCATGGTAACTGTCCTGATGAGCTTTCCTCTTTGATACCTCAATTGCATGAATTTAATCGTACTACTAGGTTGGCAACTAGGTCTCATCATTTTCCTATTGAAATAGCTAGATGTATAAGTTCTATTCTAATAATTTCTGTTCTCACACTTCTTGCCTATAGAACTCAATTCCAATTTCTTGCTTCCCCATTTCCTACAATCTTCATAAATTTAAATATAATGTCAATTATCATCTTCTTTCTGATTAAAGTCTCGCCATTCTCTTTCACTCTCTTTACCCCCCCCCCCGCCATCTTAGTGATGTTATTGCCATGCTTGGGGTGAAATGATTAAAAACTATAGATAAAAAATAAATTTAGTACACAAAAATATAAAGGGGTATAAGACAATGGTATGTCTTTACCAGATTTATTCCATATTTACGGCATAGAAATTCTGAAAAAAGTAGAAATACTGCCAGGATTATCAGTAGGCACAATAAGAACATAATTTATGCAGATGACACTGTTTTGATGATAGACACAGAAAAAATCTGCAAGAACTCCTAGAGAATCAGTTAAAGAAAGTGAAAAGAAAGGACTAATCATCAATTATAAGAAGACAATGTATGGTTGTTAGCAAGAGAACCAGCTCAAGGTGGAAGCGATGAACTGGAAATGTCATGATGAAGTAATTAGAGAAATTTAAGTATCTAGAAAGTGTTTTACCAGATGACAGAAAATGTGGCACTGAAATCCAAGATGCATTGGAATAGCAAAAGATGATTTCCAAAAAGCCAAGCAAAGTTAAAGAAATGGGCAAACTTTCATTAGAAATAAAGAAAAGGTTATGAAATACGATGTAATATCGATCCTTTTATGTGGCAGTGTATGCTAGACAATTTCCTCAGAGACTTGAGGTGACAGAGATGTGATTCTGCATAAGGATACTGAGAATATCATGAACAAAACACATAAGCAATGAAGAAGTTTTAAAGAAAATGGAAAAAAAGGACGCTTACACTGAGACTCAGAAATAGCTGACATTTCTAGCGCATGGAATAAGATTTGGAAAATTTGACTCTCACAGGACATATTGAAGTCGAGAGGAAAAGAAGGAAACCGCAAGTAGTTTACCTAACATATGGTAGAACAGATAGAAGGAATAATAAAATACATTGTTAAGAGCTACAAAATAAAGGAAGTTATGGAGACCCATGATTGTCCACATCCTGAAGGGACACAGTACATAGGAAAACAAGCAGTTTATATGATAAGAAAGTGAATAAATACAATATACACATTTACAATTCCTTATTTAAATATGCAAATAAAGTGTACCATTAACTTTTCATTTGCTAAAAAATAGTGCTAAACTGTTATATAATATCAGGCCTCCTCTATAGCAGTGAATGGGGTTTTACAGAAGGATGCTTAGTATACGATAGACAGAATATGTAAGTCATGAGGAAGTTTTAAGTAAAAATACAACAAGGATTATTGTACTTAGAATCAGAAAGAGCCAGTTGAAGTTTCTGAGACACATAGTGAGGAACAAGGCCTTGGAGAATCTGACACTCACGGGATATATTGATGGTAAGGACAGAGGAAAGCAGCAAGTATCCTTGTGTAAATAGATGGCAGAACAGGGATTGGCAGAGATAACAAAAAGACAAAATTTGCTACATGCTCCAAAGGATAAGTTGTTATGGAAAGCAATGATTGCCCACATCCAGAAGAATGAGTTGAAGTGAAAAATCATTCAATGGATTGAAGCTTGGAAAAGCATCAATCCAAATTTACCAACATATTTTCCACCCTCAGTTAATTTTCTTATCACCAGTATAACACATAAACACTGTGAATGTCTTCTAATACTTATACAATCACCCATCCCTAATAAGGATTGATATCATGAAAAATAACTGACTACTTACCATGAGAGCAATGAAATTTGTGATTTACCAAAGTATAACAAGTTTAAATCAAAATGCTTAATATGTATTTCAGGTCTGAAAAGTCAAAACATTCTCTAATGTTCAGATGATCACCAGCCAATAGCTGCTCTCTCACAGACATGCCGTTGCCTCCCTCTGTCTTTTTCACAAATACTTTCATGGTAACTGCTCCAACGAGCTGCTTTCGCTGGTTCCCAGACTTCATGAATTTAAATGTTCAACTAGGCTGGCATCTCACTCTCACCCTTTCACTGTCAAAACTGTTAAATGTAGCCATCTCTTCTACTCCAATAGCTTCGTGTCTCGCACTTCTCGCCTGTGGAACTCCCCCCCCAGTTCGTATTTTTCTAACAACTATAATCTCCAACTATTCAGATGTAATGTCAATCGACATCTCCAGATGTGCCCTGATCTATTCCCTAACCTTCTCTTCATCCTTTCCTCTTTACTCTTGCTCCAACTCTCTGTAATCCCTTGTGTACTAGTGGTTTCTTGCCTTGCTTGGGGTTGAATGCTTAAAAAAAAAAGTTGGAAAGTGTTGAAAAAATTTTTTTGTAATCTTTTCAGTGACTCAGATAAAAAGTTGCAAAGACTCTTAGGCAAGGTAGTAAAAAGAAAAGTGAGAAGAAAGGACTAATTATTAAGTCTAAAAAAAGAGAATGCATAGTCTTCAGCAAGCAAGACAGCTCAAGATGTGATCTACAAATTGGAAGTGTCATAATCAAACAGGTGCTAAACCTTAACTATTTGTGTAGGGTAGAAAAAGATGCTAAAAAAAGATCACTCAGAAATCTGAAAGTGCACTGGAATAGAGAAAGATGCCTTCCAGAAACTAAAAGTCCTAAGAGAGAGGAAAATTAATTACAAAGACAGGAGTTCTGAACTACTGTGTTTTATCTGTCTTCCTATATAGCAGTGAATTCTGAGCAGTTTTGTCACAGAATGAAGAGGAGATTTGTGACAACAGTGATGTAGTTCTGTTGAAAAATGGGGAGATTACCATGGACAGGAGATGTGAGCAATGTAAATATGTTAAGGAAAATTGAAGCAAAAAGGACACTTGTGCTTTTCAGCAGAAAAAGAGTTGAAATTACTAAAATACAATGAGAAAAGAGGGATTGGAAAATTTGACACTCACAAGATATACTGAAGGCAGAAGGAGGGAAAGAGGAAGTGATCTATATAATGAGTTTCTTGAAGGTCTACCATCGATTTGCACAAATAGAGGTGGTAGAGTGTCAATCATTAATTAGACCTACAAGTTATGAAAAAGCCTTGATCACCCATGTCCTGAAGGTCACAGTAAGAATGTAACAGAATTATTCTCTCAACAGTTTGGTTCTTTCATTATATGATTGGTTGATTCGCATTCTGCAGATTATCAACATTTTGCATGTTATTTAAAGCCACAAAATATTTTTAGATTGTTACATTTTTTTTTAAATAATAATGGTTTAGTGATACAGGTCTTAATATTTAATTCATAGCTGTTGTCCAAAGAGTTGGAATCATACATTTCCCAAGGGTATATTGGAATTTGGCTCTGATTGACACTACCAACACATTCAAGCTTACAGCACCTGGTATTCCTAAGTGGTCACCCATCTAGGTACAAACCAAGCTCAATGATGCTTAACTTCAGTAAACATATGGGAACTGAGTGTTTCAATATGATGTAGTCATAAGTTTCTATATGTGATTATGATATATATAAATCTCAGATAATGAGAACTTGAACTCAATATTTAGTTCAGTTTTACTATATTTTTAAAAATTGTGTCAATAAGTATTTTTGGACTTATTAGAATGCAATAAATTACCCCAGTCAGAATATAACTATTTTGTTTTATATTGGTTCTATAATTATTCAATTTCAAGAAATTTTCTCATGATTTACATAAGAATTATGAGAAATTGTTTTGAAAATTATACAAGTGGATATTTTTCTTTTTAATAAAATGAATACATCCTGTGTTGTATGATTAGTTTAAGTTTAATTAAGACTTGGCTTTTTATCTAATTTAAATCTTGAGTCTTAATTGCAAGTATGAATACTTCTCATTCCTTTATAGAACAAATACAATTGTATTATGTTAGAATGAGACTATTTTATTGGAAAACTAATTTGACAATAATAACTGATGAAAAACAAAATCTGAAAGACTTTTAAAAGCAATGATTCCCAAAGTGGGCGGTATCACCCCAGGGGGCAGTGAGAAAAAACTGGTCAGCCAAATGATGGCAGTGGCACATCTGAACCATAACATACACCACACACATTGTACCTGAAGTATATCATGCCTTTATTTTACAGTGTCTTCCATTTACATAACAACTATTAAGATACTCATTTGATATGCAATACAAGCACCAAGAAAATTCAATCAAAAGTTGATTATACATGGATGGGGGTGTTAGGGTTGTGCTTTGATATGCAAGGGAGTGGCAACCCCAAAAAGTTTGAGAACTACTCTTTTAAAGCAATTTCTTTGATAGTTGAATATTGTGATAGAATAGTTGTTTTTGTAACCAAATATCAAAGTCTCTTAAATCATAAATCTAACATACAAAAATAGAATTTTTCAACATAAAGTTATAATTAACTCATAAAAATCCACTTTGTGATGATTTTGGTTAATATGCCGAAAACAAAATTTTGTTTGTTTTTAATGTTTATAGAATGGCAAACATCAAGTAGGGAAGGTGAATTGTTGTGTAATATCTATCTTCTAATATGGTAGTAAATGCTGGATTATCTCTTCACAGAAGAAGACATTTGAGGTAAAAGAAATGTGGTTCTACAGAAGGATGCTGAGAATGCAATGGACTGAAAATATCAGTGACAAATAAGTTTTAGAGAAATAAAAATGAACACTTAGAATTAGAGAGAAACAGTTGAAATTTCTAGGATACATAATGAGGAAAGAAGGTTTAGAAAATTTGATAGTCACAGGACATATTGAAGACAAGAGGGGCAGAGGAAAGCAATGAGTTACCTACCTAAAAGGCTTGTGTAAAGTGTTTGCAAAACAGGGATTAGGAGAGTGAGCAAAAAGACAAAACTTACTAAGAGCTATAAAAGTGAGGAAATTGTAGAGAACCATGATTGCCCATGTCCTGAAGGGACATGGAACATAGAAGCAGCATGAATTAACTATATAAATTGAACCCATTTGTCTATGAATGTACTACCAGTACCCTACAAGATGTTTGTCGGTTATTTTCATCCTAAATAAATATATGTACAAGGGAATGCTGAAATATTATTGGCTTTATGCATATCTCAAAAGCTGATAAAACAAAAAAATATCAGAATTCTTTTTCTTTGTATTTTTAAAAAAGCTAGCTCCCAAACTTTTCAGCACCTCCCCATGAAATATGTGTCAGTGATATTGAGTTCATCTTTCATGATAAGTCAACATTGTTTAACATTTTAACAGAAGAAATTAAAATTTAGGTTTAGAACAATGATTTCTTAATGCCAGATTGGTACTTAAAGACTAAAGACAATTTTTTTTTTTTTTAGATCTTAAAAGCTGTTAAGCCTAGAACTATTTTGTGTATTTATCTCTTGAAGGCTTAACCTCAGTATTGTTCTTATTGTTTAACAAAAAGCAATTTCTATTCAGTTTTATCAAGAAATTTTAGCGTATGTAAGAAGTTCTATCACATTTCCCATTTGTGGAACTCTCTTCCAGCTTCTTTCTTCCCAGTCAACTTTGACCTTCAAAAAATTATCTTCTCTCTTCTTGTTTTTTTTTTTTTGTCCTCTTTCCTTAATAGTATATTTTTCCTGTATTCCCCTAACACTCAGTAACCCCCTCAAGTCTTAGTAGCTTTATTACCTTGCTTGGGGTAAAGTGATTAAAAAAAAAAAGAAGAAAAAGGACCTAATTATTTCACAGTAAATAATCTATACTAAATAGAATTAATAAAATATATTTCTTATCTTCAATCATACTACTACAGAATCATAGATGTTTATCATGACTCTTTGACGAAAACAAATAAAGCAAATTGAACATAACTAAGGAAAAATAATAATACAAAAATTATTTTTCCCCTTGGAAAATTGAATGGTTTTGTTTTCGGATAACTCTCTCTAATATGATTTGATTGTCATTGAGGTGTGTCATGCTCTTGGCAAACATTCTGTCCATTTATCCAAACTTTTACCTTTTTAATATTAAAGGTTTGACAAAAAGAATATACACAATCTTTTGATTGATTAACTCAAATAATACTTCATTGAGGATTAAATATCTGCTTTCAAACATGGCCATCACTGACAAAATTTGTGACAGGCACTGAAATGGGAAATCTTTATTTTTTTTATGTGCACTTGGCAATGATAAAAACTGAGTTAACACTGCAACTGAGTCCTTTGTCAGTTATTTTTTTCCTATTTTTTTTTCCATTTGTAATAAATATAAAGGTAAAGAATTCATTACATAAATATATTATAGAAATTGGAATGAAAATGTCATTGATAAAATCACTTGATTACATATAAGTACATGAATACACAATAGAATTAGTCTCTCTCTCTCTCATATATGATAGAGAAATATGTATGGCCCAGGATGAAAATATCAAAGTTCTATGCACATATAGACACATGTGTTTGCATGTATGTGTACAAGTTTTGATATTTTTTATTTTTAATATTATTTTCTTTTTATGTAATGACACACAAGAATGTGCTGAAAAGTTAGTGACTCGTATACCTAAATCTGACCAAACAATTTTTTTTGAATGGACAAGAACAGTTCAGTAGCCTTTTTGTGTGTATATATATATATATATATATATATATATATATATATATATATATAAACACAAAGTCTAGCCAAAGACATAATTTTTTTTGGAAAGGCCAAGAATATTTCAGCAATCTTTGTGTGTGCATGTATGCATGCATGTGTGTGCATGCATGCATATATATATATATATATATATATATATATATATATATATATATATATGTGTGTATTTGTATGCACATAGGCTTCTAATTTGTGTACACACAAAAAATAGCTCAATAGAATATATATATATATATATATATATATATATATATATATATATTCTATTGAGCTATTTCAAATAGAGAAATTCCTAGGCATTTTAGTAATCCTTTTGAGCAATTTGCCTCTGTATACATGCATATTTCTTTGCTGTGGAAATAAAAAAAAAAGAAAAAATCTGAATTGAGTGACTTAGAGGACAAAATCAATCCACTAAGAATGGATTTTGAAAATACAATCAGCATTAACTCTGGCAATTGACTTTGCCAACACAACAACTTCTTGACTCATTCTCTTTTCTAAACTATTGCTTTCTTCCTTTTGCCCAATGAAGAAAAATACATAAAAGTCATAAAAAATATAGATAAACAAAAAAAAATAAACATAGAAAAGAAATAGTTTTTACTTTTATAGTTTTCTTTTTTTTCTTTTTTCTGCCATCATAATTTTTTCATTTTGTTTTAGAATTTTGTCTCTTCTTTGAGTCTTTTTTTCTTCATCTTTTTTATTTATTTTCTTCATCTTCTTTTTATATCCTCTTTCTTTTTTGCTTATTTGTTTGTCATATCTTTTCTTTCCTTTGTTTTTTTTTCTTTTTATTTCATTTGTTTATTTTTTCATTGATCTTTTTTCCTTTTATTTCCTCTTTGTTCGTGTAAGATTTCTTTCAATGATTCTGAAGATAGGTACAAATTTGTATCACTTTGGGGAGCCCAGCATCTTTTGCTGTTTCACTCAACTCTCCCCTACTCTAATTCCAATCTGTCACAAGAGTAAAACAATCATACATTTCATTATTTTTTTGAAGTTTTTTCTTTCTTTCTTAATATCACATCTATTCTTTCATAGATATAAACAGCCCAGTATCCAAGAAATGGGGATGACTTCCCACTCACCTTATCACCCCCATATGTCTCATGCTCTGTTCATTTGTTATATTTGTATGCTTGGTTGCTGACCAAGGAGGGAGAGAGATCCAAAAAAAACAAAACAAAAAAAAAAAAACAAATAACTTTTCTAAATTATTGTTCCTCTGCTCTTGGATATTGATGCCACTAAGCTTTCCTAACCATTCTTCCATTTCTTGTTTTTGGAAGCATCATGGTTAAAGCCCACTCTTCTGAAAACTTTGGCATATTTATGGAGACATATAATTCTGTCATTTCTGTTTACATAGAAATATTATGGCTAGATTTTTACTTTGAAATTCCCATCTTTTTGTGGAGGTTTTGTTTGTTTTCTCTTGGGTTAGAAAGATACTTTAAAAAGAAAAAGAAGTCAATATTCTTTCATCCTTTTAATAATTGATAAATAACAGACATCATTTGTACACTAATAAGGATAAATCTAAATTTATGTCAATATGAGGTAAAATTGTTCATAGAAAAGCATAGACATACTTTTGTCTATACCAACTGTAACTTCATATATCTGCTAGAGTTGTGTGTATGAAAGATGATGGTAAAAAGTTCTTGACACAACCAAGACCTTCCAAGAAAAATTGGGAAATGGCTCAGGTTAACTACTTTGATGTATAAATATTTACTAATTGTTTGATAGGGAGGAAAAATGTTGCAGCCGGTGAATCTTGATGTGAGAGTAGAATGGTCATGGATGAATTCACTGATTTGTTACTGCTGTCTGCTAGAAATTGTGTTCAAGACAACTGGTGATGGAATGAAATTCAGACAGAATTAAATTCATGCCCTCAACAGGGTATTTGTGCAAAAATGATATAGAATTTTTTAAAATTTAATTTAATCACTTTTAATTTTTATGTAGTAATATATCTGCTAACTAGTTCTGTTAAATTCAATTGACAGGGTATGTCTGTTCAATTGTTTCAATAATTTTCCAATTTTTGAATAAGTTGTAAATCAGAATCAAAATCATATATAAATTGTTGGCAGTTAATGTTTTTATTTTCATTTCTTCCATTCAAGTATTTATATCTACCTTGGCCATTATCAAGAATTGGATTGGATTAATATGATAGAAAAGATTTTGTTTGTAACATCCTGGCTTCTATTTTTTTTTTTTGAATGCTGGAATTCAAATGAATCTATACTAGTTCCCCACAAGGTTTTACAGATTCAACAGTATCCTTGCAATTGTTCTAAAGAAATGTGCTCCTAAACTATTTCTATTATATATGTTCTGATAACACCCACCCACCCCCAAAAATTATTACAGTATTAGTCTCATAACTCTTTCTGGCAAAATACTAGAGGCTCTAATCAACACCAAATTGATGAAACATCTTACTTCAAATGACCTCCTTTCAGGAAAAAACAATATGGCTTCAATTTCTCCAGGTCTACCACTGATTGGCTAATGGCTATCACTGAATTTGTATATTAAGCTTTAAATAAGAATGGCAAAGCTTGGTCTGTGGCTTTAGATATCTCAAAGGCATTTAACACGGTTTGGCATGCTGGCCTTCTCTACAAGCTCAAGGGCTATGGTATCTCTGGATAATGTTTGTCTTAATCCAATCATTTTTGACAAATCGCATAATGAAGGTAGTGTTGAACAGACACACTTCTAGATCATTTCATATTAATACAGGGGCTCCCAGGAGTCTATCCTTGGACCTACATTGTTTCTTATCTTCCTCAATGATCTTCCCAATGTCATTAGTTCCCAACTATGTATTTATGCAGATGACAAAACTATTTAAATTGTTAATGCAATATTCATTGCAAAAAAAAAAAATTATTCTAACAATCCAAAATGTGTTTCAGTACAAAGAGCTGATAAACTGTAAAAAAAGATTTTTACAATGCTCAATATTTGGAATAACTAGATACACACATAGAGGAGGCACAGAGAAGTAATGGATACGGGCTTCGACTGAAAAATAGGAAAGCCAAGTTCAGATTCCAGTCAAATCCATTGCATTCACTTATGTGCTAATACCCTTGGGGAAGGTAGGAATCATCTACTTCTCATCCCAGCTATGGGTAAATAGTAGGACAGATTGGATTCAGTAGCCTTGGGTGGCAACTGGTCAAGAAGAAGAATATCTCTGCAAAGGGCTGTTTGGGGATCTTCTGGCACATTGTGCACCAGTAATCTGTATTTGGCTCTTCCAAAAAGTGTGGTTGGCCTTCCCCACTATAAGCAAATGATCTGTGCATGTAGTTTGGTTGTTAGTTTCTAGGAAGTAAGTTGCTTGACCCTTATATGTTGAAATCAACAGGAGAGTCCAGTATAGTAATATATATATTGCAGATTATTATTGTCATGATTTGAAAATAATGCACATTTTGCCTAGCATTGGTGAATAGAAAGGGGTCTGTTCTTCTGTAGGCTGTCACTAGATTTCACACTTCACAAATCAGCTGGAAATATCTTGCATAGTTTGGCATCAAGGTTTTGCTTCATCCTCTCTATTTATTCAACCTGTCTCCTACTGATGATTTTTTTTTCTGTGCCTAAGATGCATATATGTATCCGTAGGTGTACACCAGTATAGACCTAGTTGAAAATATTTTTATTGACCCTTGACATATAGTTCTGATATGGTTATTTTTTTCACTGTGCAAAGAGTACAGGGAAAAGTCCAGTGTAAGTTCACAAGGGAATAGAAGGTGGAAAATCGTCATGACAAGAAAACACAAATTTGCTAGGTTATTTATTCATAGATTTACCTGGCACTGTCTGAGTGTATGTAAGTGACACTTTGGAGAGTTTACCTGTTACTTCTGTTTTTTCTCATGACAGCCTAATGGACTAGATCTTACTTTCAATCAGTGAGAACTCAGTCCCTGTCACTTTGTCTGACTTTAAATGACTTTAAATGTTTGTCTCTCTGAATAACTTTGACTACATTTTGACAGATAGCTTATGACTTTCCCTTATCTAGAATATGGCCTGACTATATAAGCCCATGCTGGAATTCCCTAGCTTTCAGTTGAGTGGCACTTGATCTTGAAAGTTTATATTTGCTTATTTATAGAATTTATTTCATTGTCCTCCTTCTGAACAGTGTCTGGTTGCTTTGAAACTCTCACATCTTGATTTTACTGGTGACTCAGTTGATAGTCATAAAACCAGACCTAGATAAAATAATTTACAGTTCACTTGATTATATGGGTGTCTATCATGATGGAATAAATTTACTACCAGATTATTGGCAATATTATCTTAATTCTAATGGTGCTTACTGTGATTAATAAAGTTATTTTAGCCAAGTTATGACCTTTTAAAGTTTATGGTTCAAAATGTGTATTGATTTTGTTCTAACCTGACATATGTATAGCCACACAGGTGTGGAGTTGTGGGATATGACTATTATCAGCATGAAAAAATGAAATTGGGAAAATGAATGGGAATTTTGACGAATTCTGCTTGTGTTTGCTTCACAGTAATGCTCTTAGGAAAGGCACAAACCTACTCCTCATTGTGCACTGTCCCCTCATCAGATAAAATCGTCAGTATAGTGTAAGAGTTGACAGAAAAGTGAGGTTGTAGAAGAAAAAGATGACCATTGAGATAAAGCACTTGGTCATAACTATTGCACATGTAGTAGTAATAGCAAAAAACTGTTATACCCATTGTTAATCTTGAAAAGAGTGAGAAAATATTTATTTTTATGAAGTGACATAAATATACATTGAAATATATACTGAGATGTATATATGGATGTGTGCCTGTATCTCTACATGTATGGGGGCTTAGAGCCATATCATATTGAAACACCAGTTCCTATACAATCACCAAAGTTAAGCAAAGTTAAGCCTAGTCAATACCTAGATGGGTGAATGCTTGGGAATACCACGTGTTGTAAGTTTGAATGTCCAGGTGGTGTAATGGATAATGGCTTGGAATTGTTAACTGGAGAGCCATGTTCCAATTCCAGTTGGGTTTATTATATTCACTTATGTGCTTATTACTCTTCTCCCCAAGCTATAGGTTAATTAGTAAGACTTGTATTACTAGATCATTATTATCAAAAAAAAAAAATTCTTACAATCTAAAAATATTTTCTGGCTTTAAATAACCTGCAAAGGGTTGATAAACCATAGAAAATGAATAAATCAATCTCTTTACGTATGTGCACCTGTATCCCTATATGTAGGCATACACTAACAGTATCCATCTGTACATGGAATAATGAACATAAAATCAGCATAAAGTATTTCGATATTTTTTTTTCTGGATCATGGTGATATTACCAACTATTTGAATCCATATTGATCATCATTTTTTCTGCTTTGTCAATGCATTTTTGGCAGAAAGCTCTGTACATTGTCAGACATTTGTGATAGTCAATAAATTGACAATCAAAAGATCAAAGAGATGACAAAACCTAATTAAGTAGCAGGTGGTATTTTTCTCTTTTTCTTACTGAAGACACCTGCTGAAAATACTGTCTATTTGTAAACCAAGATAATGCTTCCTGTCAAAAAAAAATGACCACCTTTGTTGACTCCATGTTACTTATGTTGACCAAATAATAGATAAATTGTGGCAGTCACAAGCTAACCTCCTTGTACAGTATATGCAAATATCAATCATTTAACAACAGATAATTTAGAAGATTTTACAAATTGCTATACCAAATAATTTAGGAATATTTTTTAAAGTAAGGACTTATATTTCCTAATACTGTATAAGTGAGGAAAAATAATAACAAAAATCACAATATTACACTCATATTATCCTTAGTCAAGAGCAGATCAATTTCTTTTCATTTTCTGTCTTTTTTTTTTACTTACAACTTGAATGCTAAGTGAGGGAAAATAATTTGTCCTTTTTATGCTCAGTATCCTTTCAAGACATAGACAGTCGTCATGGCTCTCCACAATTTATATCCTTAAGCAATATTCCCCACCTTACTTTACCAGCTCCATCCATTTATAGAGTCATTAGGTAGATTAATTGTTGTTTCCTTCTGCTCCTCTTGTCTTCAGTATATCCTGAGAATGTCAAATTCTCTAAACCTTCTTTCCTTATAATAAAATTTCAGCATTCTATCTCGTCAGTTTGTTACTGAATTATTTTTTAAATCAGCCCAGTTTGAAACATGGTTATTTTTTATTGTCTCCCAATAGTTTGTGTTTTTGGAACATTTTATATATTTTCAAAATGAACATCACCTACTAATTTAAAAAAAAAAAATGTTTGCAATATTGTATTTTTCCATACTATTTCAAGTGTTTTTTCTATATACTTTGCTACTCAGACCAGCATGCTTATCTTCGTTACTGTGCTTACAACATTTCAGCCATTATATTCTCTGACCTTCTTTAGGTGTTTGTTTTGTTATGCACTTGGCTATTCAGTCCAGATTGTTCATCTTGATTAGGCTCACAACATTTGGGCTGTTGTACTCTCAGGCCTTCTTCAGGTATTTGCTATCATGCGAGTTAGTCTTCTTGCAATTTCAAACCGAACTCTTTATACAATCCATGGGGTAGATTGTTCTCATTCCACTTTCCATATTTAGGTATTACTTCATATAATACTCACCTGTCTCATTCTCTTTTGTTGTTCTTGTATGCTTCTTCTTAACACTACCAGTCCAAGAGATTGAACTCACAACTGCTGAGGCATTAGATAGGTTTAACCAATGCTTTAATCCAGTAGGCCAGGTGTTTCATTGATTATGGCACCAGTTTGAAATTCAATTCAAAGATTTAATGAGCATAACACCCATGGTAAGCAAGTTGGTCTGAATTACAAAGTGTATAATAATGATAATTTCTCATCTCAAAAATTCTGACCAAAATTAATCCATTATTCAGGAAATCAATGATTGTGTAAAATTGCCTGAAAGTCAGGTGAGTGGGTTTTTTTTGTTTTTTTTTGTACTGAAGATTCATTGCAAAGAAAATAATATTTAAAAATAGGTGTTAATGTTTCAGCTCTACTCAGTGTATGTATGGTGATTTGAGAAAGATATTCTTAATTTCAAGAATTGACAGTGCTTCAGAGAAAGCAAATTGACCAATGTAAATTGTTTATTTATGATACACTGGGAATTCTACTCTCTATACCATCTTCCAATTTGTATGTGCTGTTCATAGAATACCACAATATTAACCATTTGATAGGCAGCAGATGGAATTGTAATTGAGATGCTGGTAGTCTGAGATGATTTCAACATTGACAAGATTATAGACATAAAAAATGAAATATGCAACAGTGGTGACTGGAAGACCTAAGTAGATCAATTTTCGTAGAAATGTCTAAGAAGTCAGGTGTAAATGAATGCGAACTCCATTGGACAATCAGCACCTGCATATGGATAAAAAATGAGTTCACCATTACATTCACTTACATGCTAATACCCTTGGGAAAGGAATGAACCCTCTTCTTCTCCCCCCAGCTATGGGTAAATAGCAGGACAGACTGGGTTCTATAGCCTTGAATGGCAACTGGTCTACTACAGAAAGAAATGGCAACCTACTGCAGGAAAAAATTTGCCTTGTCAGTCATGCATCAAAATATACATGATTGCATGGCACATAACTAACTGAAATATACAAAAATAGAAGTAGGTGTAAGATAAGTATATGTCAACCAATACAGTGAGGTGATTCTGAGAAAATTAGAAGTTCTACCAGGATTCGTATTGGCAGTCACAATCTCATTAACATACGATATGCATATGACGCAGTACTGATAGCAGATATAGAAAGATAACAACAGGAACTTCTACAGAAAATAGTGAAAGTAAGCAAAAAGAGAGGACTAACTATCAATTACAAAAAGATAGAATGCATGGTTGTTAGCAAAAGGGACAGCCAAACATGCAAATTACAAATTGGAGATACCAAAATCAAACAAGTACAAAAATCTAAATATCTGGGAAGTGTTTTAACAGAGGATAGAAAGTGGGTTACTGAAATCCAAAGGCATATTGGGATAGTGAAAAATGTCTTCCAAAAGCTAAACAAATTATTAAGAAACAGGAAAATTACATTAGAAATAAAGAGTACTACAATCCTCCTATATTGTAGCAAAGAAGAGATTTGAAGCACCATAAATATGGTTCTACAGAAGGATGCTGAGGATACCATGGACCAAACATGTGAGCAACAATAAAGTTTTAGAGAAAATTGAAACAAAAAGGACACTTATACTTAACATCCGGAAGAGTGGGTTGAAATTTCTTGGACACATAAAGAGGAAAGAGGGCTTGGAAAATTTCATACTCACAGAACAGATTGAAGGTAAGAGACACCAATGAAAAAAATGTATAATCTACACCCTCCCACTCTTGAGTAAATGGATGGTGGAGCAATGTTTAGGAGAGATAACAAAAAGACAAAATTTATTAAGAGCAACAAAGGTTAGGAAATTGTGGAGAGCAAATGATCGTTTATGTCCTAAAGGAACATGGCCCATAGAAGATGTAGGAGAACCTAATGTACAATTTGTAATATCAGCAGTTAAGCAGCATCTCTTCTCCCAGCCATTGACCTGCCTTCATATTATCCTTGCTTCAGCTTGTATGAAATGTGCAAAGCAAGAAAGATTTGGACATGTTACTGCATGGCTAATTATTGGCAAATCTTCTCTCTTATTGGCAAAAAGGAGCATCTCTTACTGTTTCACTCCTCACAATGTCATCCTTGTTTCATCTCTTCCAGTTCATTTTTCTTCCTCACTTATTTTAATTTTTTCTCTTCATCTCTAAGTTTTTTTTATTTTTACTCATTCTAGTTTTGCACTTGTAATTTTATCTTTTATCCCTTTAACCTCCTTATTTTTGTCTTACCTCCTATTCCTCTTTCCACATCACTGTTATCTTTTCTCTCCAAACTCATCATCTTATTTTCCTCTTTACTCCTCATCTAATTTTCATCTTTCCTCCTACTATTTTTTCTACCTCACTGTCCTCTTTTTCTCTTCAAATTCCATCTAATTTTACTATCCAAATTTACTTTTCCTTCTCCTCTCTTTCGTTTTAATTTTCCTCCTCTTCTTTTTTAATTTTCCTCCTCTTCTTTTTTAATTTTCCTCCTCCTCCTCTTTTTTAATTTTCCTCCTCCTCTTCTTTTTTAATTTTCCTCCTCTTCTTTTTTTTAAAATTTTCCTCCTCCTCCTCTTCTTTTTTAAAGTTTTCCTCTTCCTCTTCTTTTTTTTTAAATTTTCTTCCTCCTCCTCTTCTTTTTTTAATTTTCCTCCTCATCCTATTTTAATTTTTCTTCTCCTCTTCCTCCTTCTCATTTAATTTTCCTCTTCCCTCTCATTTAATTTTCTCATTCCTTTTTGTTTAATTTTCCTCCTTCTCTTCTTCAACCTCCTTGTTTAATTTTCCTTGTCCTCTTTCCTCTCTCCTCTTCTCACACTTGATAGTTTCTCTGCCACATGATCTTTGATCCTTTTCATTTTTTGCCCCTTTTTACTCTGTGTTCTTTCTCTCTCTCTCTCTCTCTCCTATCAACTTCATCCTTTCACTTTAATCTTTTTCTTCTTCTTTTTCTCTCAGACCTTACAAATCCGTGAGACTGCTCTTGGCTATTTGATAGCAATGTCAGTATGGGCATTTAGACAGGCAGTATTCTTCCCAGAATTCAAACAATTTGTCCTCTCTTGTCTTCTCTCCAAGAACAGCTTACTTACAGGCATGTTGGCGTTAATAATTGGCTGACTGTCATGCTCTGGGATCACATTGGATGAGCTTTTCTCTCTCTCAGTGAAATATTGATTGCTGAAAGATTTCATTTCAGGCTATCTTTTCGCTTGGATGTCACAGATTTTATAAGCTTGCACTGTTATGAAGACTCAACTTGGTAGATGAATATTTTAAATTTAAGCGGTATAGCTCCTACAGCA